ATCTTATTAAGAGCTGATGGATTAACAGGATATCAAGTTTAAATATAAGTATTATCCTTAGGTTCCAACTAAGATTAATCAAATATAAGTAAGAACCTGGTATTATGCTCAAACACAAGCATAAGTCTCAAGCTCCAACACTTGGGCATGACCATGGAAGCATGGGTGTATACACTACTAGTAATAATTAGAGATGGATGGGTTACAAAACTATACTTTAGTTCCAAAATGCAAGCAAAGGCCATACAAAGGAAAACCCAAGAGATCTGGGTAAACATCATAGCCTTCATGGTCACAACAAGAAAATCTTGGATTAAGAACCTAGCCATAGATGTTGACTTTAAGCACAAATCTCGAATCTCATCTCAAATAAAACTATCTTTATTTGGGTAGCCATAATTATTGATCCTTTGGCATGATTTTTATCGATATGAATGGGTACAAAACATCCATTCCCATGTTAATCCATCGATATACTAATGTTGATAACTACTTGATGTGTTAAAATATACTTGTTTCATATGTAGCTCCTACAGTTTATTGCCCAAAAATCCTCAAGCTATCTTCCATAATTACTAGGCCAATAACTCTAAAACAACTAATAGCTAAACATGATTCACACCCTAAAAGAACTGCCTCTTCATGCTCTACTTTCGAGCAAGTAGATTGTTGGTCCAAATATGGCAAGACCATCATTCATTATAAGATGATGTAGTCACGTCATGTGAAGACATGAAGATTGAAATTATTCTTTGTTGCCCTATTGACATGTTCACCTAACCACTAATGACTACTCCTCCTCTACGTGCACTCATACCCATCAACTATAGTCTATAATATGTTACATTCATTAATCTTAGCTCAATGCTATCCTATACAAACTTACAAGATTGACAGCACTAAGCATACCTCCTTTCGAATTATTAGCTATGGTCCCACTTTTCCTTTGATTGGATCTAAGCCACTAGCTCTCTTTAATAACTAAGGAGACATTAAATGCATTCCCTATAATAATTGAACTAGATGCCCACTATTTTGTAAACCCATTGATTCTCAACCATCTAGTCTCTTGGTTCGAGTAGTCAACAATGTCAAGCTCAAATTAGATTAGTTATCTACTAACTTCTTGTGTGTCCTCATTATAGATCTCATAACTAGGGTTTACATTATAATTCAATAGGGTATATTCATAGCCAAATAATGCATCTATTTTTATGTAACAATAAACTAAGCTTCTCATCTTTGTGTTGTTAATTCTCCTCGTTTGTACTATTTTTATTACTTGCTTACACTTCTAGGATCTCATTAGGACACACACATATACATAATGAATCGTATAGGATGTGAAAATCACTCTTAATTGATAGTGTTCCTCATGCATTATACCATAGATGTAATTAACCATGGGGAACTTAAGCCCATGAGAATATATCATCCAAATTTTTTAAAAAAAAGTGTCGTACTAAACGCCACCCATTGAGTTGGAAAAATCATTTTCTCCATGAAAATCATCATTCCTTGAGCACTAATTAAAGGATGGAAGCATGCTTGGTCTAATCATAGCATCCATTGAGTATCAGGTCTCCAATAAGCTTCTGCCAATTTAATCCCCAATTTTATTAAGAGAGAAATTGGTTTGACAATCTCCATCACTAACCAATCTTGAGAGACATACTCTCTTCTCTTATAACAGAGGATGTCCTGGTCACCTGCATCTGCTATTAATTTTTGGTTGACAACTCTACTCCAAAAGAAGTATCATTCCAACCATCAAATTTTATTCACATTTCTCTTAGTTCAGATAAAAGCGGTGCATTTTAGCTCACATTTACTACTAATGAAAGTTATTTTAATCGACCTTGGAATTTCCTATTTAATTTTTCCCACATAAAAATTTGTGCCCCGTACATAATTAAATCACATCTCTAGTTGCATGTGTAAACAACCATTCTTAACTCAAATGATCAATCTCTTCCAACTGACTCAGCTTCAAGCACACAATAATAATTAAATATCTCATCTTATATGAGAGTAATCTTTATTCTCTCTATAGAGCATCTTCATCTAAAAATAAAAAATAAAAAACTTATGTGTCCCTATAGAATTATATTGACAGATGAGCATTGACATATTTCTATTGTGATGATAATGAAGATGAAGGCATCATTATGTGTCCTCCAACTGAATATCTTGCAAGAACCATTAGCCATATTTGTCCCACACTCCATTTTTTTCTCAGTGCAATTACTGCAAGTTGGATTAAAAAATAAATATCTTACACCTTCATAGAATATCTGTTCTCCCAAAGCAATTAGGTTCTAATCTGTCTTTTAACCAATAGTTAATAAAATAAGCTCATTTATTTAAGCAATTAGAACTGTGATTAACAAGTCAAATAATCTATATGATGACAAGTTTCATTTTACGTGTGGATGAGATTCTGAACAAAAGCTTAGGGTCATTAATTAATTAATTAATTAATTGTAATGCGTATTGGTGGATTAATTAATATTTGACTTCTTCTATTTCTGTAAATGATTTTATCCATGAAGATAATTAGTTGGAGAAGGATATTAACATACACGCTACATATGGCAGACCTATATATTGATTACTTCAGATTTCATTTGGTGCAGAAGAGTTGGATTATATAAGTTTTTGTTTTGCTGAGATAAAATAAGATTTCAGTAGCTTTGCTGTATTGGATCATTATAATCTCCAATAGAATTATAATATTCATATTTTTTATAATGATATATCTTTTTAACTATGGCAGTCTTAATAGGGCTTCCTGAATAGATGGATTAAGGATTCTAATCCTCAGAGCAATCATCATTTATCATCTTATGGCTATTAGATTATAATATTGTATATAGTGTGTTAACAAATGTGACTAGGGCTGCAAACGAACCGAGCCGAGTCAAGTATGTGCATATTCATGTTTGAGTTCGTTTATTATCAGCTTGTTCTAGTTCGGTTCGAGTTTGAATCGAGTTTTTTTGCTGGTGTTCAAGCTTGCTTCGTTTAAATTAATGGGTGTTCATGTTTGGTTCATTTTCGATTCATTTCGTGCTTATCGAGCTTTAATTAAACAAACGAGCCTTATGGAGTTATAAACAAGCTCTACTTCTAGATGTACATTCATTTAACAAAAGAGCCTTATTGAGTCTTCTAACAAATAATTACATCGAGCATGTTCGTGAACATATCTAGCGAAGTTTTTCAAACTATCAAACAAGCTCGTTCGAGAACTTATTTAATGAGTATTCTTTAGCTATCAAATGAACCCGTTCATGAACATATCTAATTAGTATTTTTGAGCTACCAAATGAGCTCATTCCCGAAGAAATGATCTATGATTCATTTTATATTTATTCAGAGATCAGGATGTTCGTGATTTTAGGTAGATGTGGGAAGTAAAAATAAATTACTAAATGATTTTTAGATGTGATTAACAAAAATAAAATTTTAAATTTAACAATATATATTTTTAAAACTCTAATATAGTTCTAATCGAGCTTCTTGATGAGCTTGTTTATAAGCATTAAACGATATTGTTCAAGAACCTAAACGAACCGAACGCCAAGTTATTCAAGCTTGTTTATTTAGCTATCGAGTATTTATCAAAAGTGTTCAAGCTCATTTGTTTATCTTATCAAACGAACATGAACGAGCTCTTATCGAGCCGAGCCACGAGTAGCTTGTCGTTCAACTGATTTGTAGCCCTAGATATGAACACACTATGTACACTATATATATAACCTATATACACTCATAATCCGGACAATTGTTTCTCCTAGAATAATTTCTTTTCCTATATAAGACTGTTTAGACTGTACGCGGGGAGGAGGGGGAGTTTGTGGTTTTATTTTAGTTATTATTTCCTATTATTAGAGAGAAGGAAATGAAGAAATCCATGAATGTTGTTAAGCTTAGCACTGTTTGGACGTTTCTGTTTACCATTTGTAGCTTGCCGAAATAGAACAATTTATTTTTATTCTTTGTCTTGGTGATGCATTCTACGTCATTTATAAATTTTAATTTAAAACTTAAAATTTTGGCTAATAACACATTTTTTAATGCCGATGTTCTACTAAAATTTTATTGTCAAAATATTTTTAAAATATATCTATTATAATTTAAGGGTATATTTGGGACGGCTTTGATGGTTTATAAAATTGATTCTGAGTTAGACGGTAAGAAAAATAACTTAAGGTATGTTTGGGATATTTTTATGATTGTTTTATTTTTCATACAACAATCTTAATTTTATTTGACTCTTTTTTTTCTTGTTGTTTTGCTGCAATTTTGTAAAAATTTCTATGATGAAAAGTTGTTTTTCTCAAGGTTTGACAACGAACCGGAAGGAGAGTTTCACGATTTAACTGGTTCGACCGGTCGAATCGGGGTTGAACCAGAAGATGTAATAAATAATAATATTATTATAAAAAATTAACAAAATTAGCATAATAATAAAATATACAAGTATATACTTTAATATAAATTATTTTTATTTATATTACATATTTAGATGTAAATTATAAATATAAATTATACTAAAAACTCATAATAAAAATTATTTTTTCGTAGATAAAAAACTTAAAAAGTAAAAAAAAAAATACATAAGCTTAAATCATAATTAGATAACTTATTTTATTTATATTTATAAGTATACTTTTAAAAAAATCAATAACAAAAAAAAAACATATATCAAAATAAAAATAAACTGCAAAATTGATTAATTGATCCACGTCATGGGAATAAAAAAAAACTACAATAATAGGAAAATAAAATTTTAAAAAATTGGCTTTAAATATTCATATTTTGTCAATAAAAGAGTCCCGTGGGATCCACAAAGAGAAGCCAGGATAAGGCCTGCAATTCCGTAGCCCGTGGAAGCCAGCGTTTGTTCGAGGAACGTTGCTGTCGCAAAACTAGACACGTAAGCCAGCTCCCTTCAGAACATGTCAAAGACCTCTTATCTCCTCAATCCCATCTCTTCTCCTACCCCTTATATACCTCTCTCTCTCCCTGTCCCTCTCTCTCTCTAAGACGAACAGGCCTAGAAGCCATGGCTACATAAGTGTCAAGCTGATCCTGAAGGCAGTAGAGGAGGAGACGGGGAAAGAAGCAGGTGATATTGAATAGAGGAGTTGGAGAAGGAAGAAGAATGTCTCTTGTGTTCTCACCAATGAAGGTGGTGACTGGACCAATGAGGAACATAAAGGAGCACCAGGTAGGTCTACCTATCTTCATCCATGGAGAAAAAAAGGAGAAGTTAGATATGGCTAAACAAGTGAGTAAAGCAGAGGAGCTAAGGGTTGTTGATAGAAGAGGGATTAATGGATATTCTTTATTGGCCAAAGAGGAGGAGGAGGAGGAGGAGGAGGAGGTTGAGGCTTCTTCACATAGTTCTTCTATTGGCGTCTTGTCTTCTTCATCGTCTAATGAGGAAGAGGAAAGGGGAGATGAGGTGCAGAGCAAGCTCAAAGATGAGGGGCATTTAGGTTCTCTGATTTCCTTGGAAGAGTCCCTTCCTATCAAGTAAATCCCTCTACTTTGCTTCTATTTTTTCTAATGGCTTCCAGTTCTTAATCATGTAGTTAGATTTTGGTTATCAAATTGTATGATTAGTTTTTTCTTTCTATGATTCGATCGCAATATTAACCAAATAGGCAAAAGAAGAAATTTGTGGGGAGTATGTTCTATCAATTTGGGAATTACAACAAATAGTTTCAAGTCCTTAAGTTTTTTCTATAACAAAAATGAATAAGCAAACGTTTACTTTGCTTCAGATCCTATGAATAAGCAAATTTTACAGTTATTCTTTTTAATCTAAGATTACAGAAACTTATAGCAATTACTCATTGAAAACAAAAAAATCAGACTGATCTTCCTCTCTATCTCAATATTTATGCAGGAGAGGATTATCAAATTTCTTCTCAGGAAAATCAAAATCATTCGCCAACCTCGCAGAGGCCACTTCCTGCAATGCAACAGATATCGTGAAGCAAGAGAACCCCTTCAATAAACGCAGGAGAATTCTTATGTCCTGTAAGGCCTCATGGAGAAGAAGAGCTTCTTGCACTTCACTCATCACATCCTTTTCTCCTCTCCTACTTCCTGAATTTGTAAAAGAAGACGAAGATGAAGATGAAGATGAAGACGAAGACGAAGAAGAGGAGCAGAAGAGGGGAACAGGCTTCCCCATGACTCCCCTTCATATTCTAAGAAAGAGTTTCAAGAACCCCAAATCACACTCATTCTCAAATCTTCAAAAGCTGTAGTTTCTTCTTTTTTTTTCAATTGGAGATCATACAAACCAATCTTTGATCTCTTATCTCATCTTAATTTTTCTTCTAATGACATTTTTATTGATCTTTAGAGATCTGCAAACCAATCATGAAGATGGTTGCATGGCTTGAATCCATGAAAATATTAATCGAAGCTTAATAATTCAGAAGAATGGATAAGATTTGGGCTTGTAAGGGCATCTCCAACCGAACGTTAAACGACTGTATGGAGTCGTTCCCTCGCTCCAACCGAACTCCAAAATTTTCGCCATTTAATCGCAGGTGAACAGTGCGACGCCAATATTGGCGTCGCACTGTTCACTCACGCCATTTTTTCTCTCAACCCGAAAAACGCGCGAAAGGGAGAGCGATTGTTACCTTCTCAAAAACACCTAAAATGGCGTTCGATTGGAGCATCCTGCGCCATTTTGGAGTTTTTGCGTTACTTTGCCGTGAAAAATGAAGTTTTCGGTTGGAGATGCCCTAAGGGACCACTTGATGTGCTTGTCATGATATTGATCTTAGCTCTTTGCTTGAAAAAATATCCTAACTTTGTACGGCGTTCTTCCTTTGCTTAATTATTACCCAAAAATAATAATAATAAATCATTTAGGTGAAGGTGAGTTTGGTTTAGAACGAGTATCCGAAGGGGATTGAAAGGGATTGATTTGTCAACAACTGGATTAGTTGGTAGTTAAGCCTGAAGTTTTTCTTGTTTGTGTAAATATTTATACTGAAAATACGTAATTTTTTGTATTTGTGTGTTGGATTTGACGTTTAAATTGGCTGATCATCAATCAAGGCTTGAAAAGTTGCCATTTTTTAGAGGTGTTTAGGATTAAAAATTAAGAGGATGATTTTAGAGGTGATGATGAGTATAATTTGGGCTTAATTGTAACACTAATATAAATTTGAATAGTTTGAGCTTTATATAGCGTCCAAAAAGGATTGATATTGTTTATAGCTCAAGCTTAATTTGGGCACTAATTTGAGCTTAATTTGAGCTTCTTATGATATATTTTGGGTGACTGTAATGCTTTGTAAAAATGATTAAAAAGTTGTGATAAAATTAAAATTTTTAACCGTTTTGGATATATATATTATATAGAATAATTATTTTTTAAAGCTAGCACCCACTGGCAACCCTAATTATAAAATAAAATTTCTATTCATAGAAATTTTTGGAAAATTAAGAAAATTAGTAGAAAAATAAAATTATTTATAATGTAAAATAATGAAAAAGTTATTCTAAGACACACACATTTCATAGGCAATTCAATATGAATTGACTTATTATTTTCTATCTCCTACCTACCTTACCCCAAATCTTACCCACCAATCAAATTTCAAATTACCCTAAATATTAAAATATCATTATAGAAACCTCAGATAATTTAAAAACAAAAGAGTTAAGCAATTAGTGAATAACCAGAAAAAGGAAATATTAAAAAAGAATTCATTATGGAGCCAAATGTAAGTGGAACCACCATGGACAAACCTTATGAGATTGAAGTACTTGGAGGAGAAAAAATTTAAATGAAAGATAATGCTGCACTACCATTTGGTCTTTTATATTTGATCATATTTCTACTGACTCCAAATCAATTGAGAGAAATGTTAATAAAGAATATTAGAAATATAAATATTAGAAATATGCTAGAAATGTTAATCTAGGTTAGGTCGACCAACATCATCATCATTTATAATAATGTTAAAGAAAATAGCATAATGATTTCCTATATTTCTAGCATCAATTCTAGAAAGGAAGACATGAGAAATGGATTCATACCTTATAATAATTCCACTTTAAAACCAACTCAATCCTCCCACATGTATTATTGTAGTCACAAAACTAGAATCATTGAAGAATCTCTGCATGAAAATGGAGAGATAGATTGTCACAATTCGAACCGATATGAACCGATATCACACAAGTCATACAATGTCCAATTATGACAATATTGGCCCTAACATCCGGTTGAAGAAGCACTCAAACAAATCTTCCAATTTAAATATATCATAGAGCCACTAGTGAATACAATAAAAAGTGGAAGACTAAATCTCATAATGATTATTTATATATCATCCCAAATATATACAATTTGAGGTTTACAACAGCACTTGGCCACATATAGCATAACTAAATAAATGTCAAGTCTGTAAAAATCAAAACTAAGAAAAATATACCTATAGTTGTTTGCGAGCTTTGTTGGAAAGTGCAAAATAATATGTGATTATATTTTCTTTGGAAAATTTGATTTTTAGAATTTCAATTTTGAAGTCAAGCATGTCATTATGAATGATATATCAGCTCGGAAGAAGAAAATATCCTTCTCTAATAGATTTAGATTACAAAATTGTGAGATTCATCATAATTATCATAGTCAAATTCAAAAAGGAACTGTGTATAAACTCGAAGGGTCAAAATGATTTTCAATCAAGTATTTAGCTATGATAATCTAGATGTACTATCATTAATTTCATATTATGAATCATAATGATAAATGATATATCTTCCAAATGACGGAAAATATCATTTATCATCTATCATTTGAATATGATAATAATGATCGATCTTGATTTTTGTTGTTTATCCAAAGAGGATAATTTTCTTTTCCCCAGTCTATTTGGGAGCTAAATAGAATGGGTCTTACTTTTCTAGGGTCTTGAATCTCCTATGAAGACAGTTAATTACATTGTAGGAGCTTTGAGTTTCTAACAAATACTCTCGATTAAAATAATAATAAAATTTTCTTTTGAGATTTTCAAAGAGTGATATAAAAGGAGTGAGGTTGGAATTCCAATAGAAATTGGGTCAAATTTGAACGATTATTTTTTAGGCGAATATGTGAGAAGTATGAGGCATTTTAGGATTCTGATCAAATAATTTAGAAATGCTTCAATCTATCATGTATTGGACTTTACATCTTGGTTTAGATAAGATTTTAATTTGAGTGATTATTTTATTAAAATATTGGGATTAGATTCTCGATCCTAGTAACTTTTGATTTTGGGTCTGCCCAAGATCTTAAGTCTAAGTTGGATAGTAAATGATAGTGACCCAGACCTAACTAATGACATGCAAATATGGGCTTACCTCAGCAAGGATTGGAGAGTCAGTTAACCACCTAGGCATTCTAACTCCATATATCTAGTCTTTAAGAAAGATGGGTAGGTCGTTATTTAAGTTTTGATGAATTGGGGCTGACTTCTAGAGAATGTTCTAACCCCTTTACTTATATAAGATAATTATGCTCAAGTGCAATTGAAATTTTTTTAATTTAATTTGTTTCTAATATAATACATGCTAATTAATATTATATATAAATGATATGAAGTAGATAAAAATTTTGGGTTAGAAAATAATTTTGCCTAGAGATTATATAACATCCCCAAGATAGAGCCGCACTCTTATAGATAAGGTGGTCTACCACAACCTGCAGGCAGGGAGGTGCATAAAAAAGAAGATAAGGAAAATATATATGCATGGGACCCTAGACATGTTCGAGTTTGGTTCTTAGATTTGCTTATCTTTCTATGTTGGCCTAAAATTTTTTATTTAGTTATGAGTAAAAAAAGTTTTTTCTTAGAAAGCCTAACCACATCTAGGTTAAAATAAAATAGGCATGCAAAATAAGAAACCTACAAAAGATTATGAAACTCCTAAAGCATGAAAGTAAACAACCAATCATGACACATCATCAAAATATATAGAATGAATGTAAGAAAGCAATGTGGCAAATGTCACTTAATATACAAAACATGGTCTACAAAATTAAAGTGGTCAGGCACCACTGATAACAAATCAAATTCTAATCTTAATAAGGACACAAGTTTCTAAAATGGGATATTTTTCTTTTCATTCGTCATTTCTTCACCTCCTTCCTTCATGCTCCTTGAATTTATCGGTTCTAAGTATCCAAATGAAAAGAACTCTTCTCTGAAGGGGTGTTTCTTTTCTCTTTGGATTTTCAAGTGATCCAAATTTAGACTTTCAAATGAAAGGAACTATGCCCTAAGGGATGTTTTCTTTCTCTTTGGAATTCAAATTGGATATATAAATATCCCATTTTATTTAAACTTTCACAGCACTTTGAATTTTAAATTCTATATAGTAAACAAAAATGACTAAAATAACATGCATTGTTATCCTATGCAGTTTTTATATAAAAATTTAAATATCTCACGTATTTATATAATCAAATTTCTCTCATATGAGCTTAAAATACACTTGACCATACTCTTTTAATTTTAAGGAGGCTAGGAATTTAAAGCACTTGTGTAAAATTTCATTAGTTATAATTTAATTAGCCCTCTTTATTTAGCCCTACATGAATATGGATATATGCAGAAAAATTTGTTAACATCCATATCATCCTAACCTAGGAAAATCTAATGCCCATCACACCATATCACAAGTAGCATGGTAAAGAAAAGGAAATCACATCTAAGCAATCACAACAACCAAGTCATAATAACCAGCATACAGTGAAATTTATGAAAAATCTCATCACACAAATAGAAAACAAGAAAGAACAGTAGCTTAGCTTAAAACTAGGATTGGTTGCCCTAACAAACCATTTAAAGTGTGTGTCAGGCAGTGTAGCTTGGATATATCCTAAGTTGGATTGTTATTGGAGTTTTTTAGTAATTTCTTTGATTTGTTGTAAGCTAAAGGGATTTTAGTTCAAGTTTAAGTATTAGTGTTTTTACTTGTATTAGGGTGAATTTTAATTATTGAGTGGCTACTACCTTTAGTTATATAAGGGTCATGAGGTTTATTTCACCACCCACCTTAAGAATAATTTAATAGCCCCGCGGGCCCGAATTACCCAATAGTAATCAATATTGTTTAATTGATTTAGTTTGTTTAAATTAAGAGTTGAGGATTTTTAATTAATTAGTTGCTTATTTGAATCATTATATTGATGATTTTTTTTGTTTGTCATCAACTAGTTCGTGGCGTTGTCACAACATGCACAAGACCAAGGTCTCTTTAGAACACATAGCCCCACAACTCGAGGTAGTCCATCCTAAAAACCTAGTTAATGTAGTTATATTAAGGTTAATTTTGATTAACTAATTAATGATTAGTTATTTTTATGATTTTTCATTCCATTAAATTTGTTCGTGGTGTATACAACTTGCACGAGAACTAAGATTTCCTTAGGGCATGTAGCCCCATAACTT